AAGCTAAACAAAATATAATTTTGTATACTGTAAGAAAAACTCTGAATTTAACCATAAAATCTATAATAGTGTAATTCTGTCTTATCTTTTAATGGCTCAAATTTGAGGCATGTTAGGAAGTACTAAAATTGTGATAAATGATTTGAGGTACAGTATGCCCTGAAAGACATCTACAGAAATAAGTTATTGTTGTGTGTATTATTCTAGTTTCTATGTTCTACAATGTTTCACATATAAGAGATGTAATCCATAATTCCACCTATGACATATGGCACCAGATCCCCTTTTTATGACAAAAAATTATATATCTCTTAATGTTAGAGATGATCAGCAGAGAACCTCAAACTTATTTCATGATGTGGAACTTTGGCGTGAAAGACTGAAACTGGTGGGAATCTGCCTAAATACTTCATACAGCTCCTCCATCACTCTCTATTACACAAGCTGCAGTTTTTCTAGCCAACTCCCTTATTTCACTAGTGAGCCCTGTCAACACTGAGGTAATAGAACTGGAAAAAATCATCACTCCACATGATATTCAAATATCAGAAAATATTTCATTTGGTAAAAATTATATCACTGCCAAATAAAATTAATGCAAATATAGTAAAATATGCAAGATTTTGAGGAATTCTTTTGTTGAAAAGGACTGGAGGAGCCTCAAATTCATCTTGCAATTGCTTAGGCATTATTTTGCTCCTTTGACCCTTCATGCCCCATCTAAGTATAGGGGGCGGAGAGGACTACAGAATGAACTAATAAGCATGCATTTATGCAGATAGTATTCCCACAGGTTTTTCTTCATACTTAGTTCCTCCAGGAAAAGTGCTGTTTTATTCACCTCTAAACTCCAAAACCTAACCAAATGTCCTGCATATAAAGTCATCCCAAATATCTACTACATGGCAGGCATTAGATTAGGGATTAGAGGTAGAGAAAAGAGATACAGACCTCACCCTCATGGAACTTCATAGAAGGGGGATATTGAATATTGGCTATATGAACAGAATCAAGTAATGAAAGACCAGTTAGCACAGCCCCACCACCTGTGTTCTTTTTTTCCAGTGCCAACCAAGGCTTAGATGAGGACTCAAATAGTCATTCTCTTCAGGACTATAAATCTGTGTCTCCAGCCCTGACCATTCCCCTGAGTTCTATATGCATATATCCAACTGCCTACTCAACATATCAGTGTGGAGGTAGTTACAGGGATTAACTGCATGAACTCTGAAGCCAGACTTACTAGTTTGAATCTTAGCTCCACTATACACATGCTGGGTGACTTCTAACCACTCTGTGCCTGTTCTTTCATTTGTAAAATAGAGACTTCCAACCATTATGTCATAGCATATACAACTGTTATAAGGATTAAATAAATTAATATGTAGAAGTGCTTAAAACCCTGCATACTACAGTGTATGCTCACACTGTGCTTACTATTACTATTAGCAGCACCAGTACTAGTGTTACTAAGTCTATCAGGCATCTTGAATCTTGTCCAAAACAGAAATCATGATTTTCTTCTCAAACCCCTTTCTGCCTTCTCAGTAAATAGCACTACTACCTTCCAGTTGTTCCAGTCTAAAACCTAAGAGTTTTAGGTTTTAGATAAACCACATTAGTAAGTCCACATCAGCATCTCTACCTTCAAAAGTATATCATGGCCCTGGCCAGTTTGGCTTAGCAGTTAGAGCATCGACCTATGGACCAAAGGGTCATGGGTTGGATTCCCGGTCAAGGGCACGTACCTGGTCCCAGTCGGGTGTCGTGAGGGAGGCTACCAATTGATGTGTCTCTCTCACATCAATGACCACTTCCTACCATCTCTACAATTACCTCCCCTAGTCCAAGACACCAGCAGATACAATAGTCTCCTGTCTTTCCGTCTTCAATACTCCCCACTCCATGACCCTACAGTTAATATTCTACTTAATAAAACTGAAATTAGATGCTATTCCCTTGACATAAACCTTCCAGTGGTTTTCCATCACGCTTAGAATAACATCTTTACTTTATCACAGCCCACAAGGGCCCCCAGTCTGCCTGGCCCTCCAACATAATCTGCCACCACTAGCCCCCTTCCTTGCTGTGTTCTCAGCACTGTGACCTTGCCATTCCTTGGCACCTCAGGCTTATTTCCATCTGTGAGCATTGTTCCTATTGTAAGGCAAAACAGTATTGTTGTTTGGGGCAAGGACACTGAGGTCAGATTGCCCAAATTCAAATACTGTCTCTATTACATTAGCTGCGCAACCTGGAGCAAATTCTTTTTATTATTATTATTATTATTATTATTATTATTATTATAAATTTTAATCCTCACCAGAGGACATTTTTCCATTTTTGTTCAGATAGAGTGAGAGGGAGAGAGAGGGAACAACATCAATGTGAGAGAGACACATAGACCAGATGCCTCCCACACCACCACGACCAGGGCCGGGGATGAATCAAAACCAACGTACATGCCCTTGACCAGAATCCAACCAGCGACTCACTGGTCCACAAACCGATGCTGTAACCACTGAGCCAAACTGGCCAGGGAGAGCAAATTCTTAATCTGTGTTAGTTTCCTCATCTATAAAAATGGGAATATGAGTCCTTACTTTATAAGGTTGTTGTAATAATTTAATTTTGTATTTATAAGAGTGTCTCACATATAAGCTCTACATAGTGTTTACAGCTATTATTATTCCTCCCTGAAATGTTCCTACCTCTGGCTCCTTCTCCACTTTAAATGACTCAACTGTCACCTCTTTTGAAAGGCCTTCCCTGACAGACCTTAAAACAACCTCTCCTGTTCTCTCCCCATCTGTTGTTCTCTCATCTTCCTTTACATCACTGTATGCATCATATTTGAAATAATAGTATGTACCCATTCTTTGTTGCCTATTTCCCCACTGGAATATGAGCTCCACTAGGCTGAAGATTTTGTCTTGTTTGCTGCTCTAGTTCTAGTTCTGACTCAGAGTTCTGACTCAGAACCTGACTTTGAATGCATACATCTTTTATTTCTCTTTTACAGGTTAGGGGACCAATGCAAATTTCTTAATAGCAATACCAAACTTCAATAGCCTTTCATTTTCACACTCATGATCTCATTTGATCCTTGAAAAAGCAACCACAGATAATCCATCATCTCTCATTTTAGGGAGAAAAAAAAAATTCAAAGTTTTGGTGAGCTGACACAGAGCTAGTAATTGCTAGAACAAAAATTAGGACCCCCTACTACCTAAGCTTCCTCAAACTCAGATGGAAGGATCTTACACCCTTGAGTTGAATTTATAGAAATGTGACCTTTCTATCTCCTTCAGTGTGTACAATATTCTTCCCTTCAAAGTTCCTGACAAATAGATATTTGTCCCTGAACTTGAGAAGTACTGTAGTATAGTATGAACTCATTAATAATGTATTAACTCTGGCAAGCCAAAAAGTTCACGTAGTCAGATATGATGATGATATATTCCAAGTTTACACAGCAAAATCCCTAAAACTCACAGTGTGTCTGTATTGAGTATAAAGTACTAGTTTCAACACTCTAAAATCTTTCTTTTCAAATCCCAAACGAAGGGGACCTCGTAATTGCCAAAAAACATTGTGATAATGGTACCAGGTATTTCTTTATCCCTATTCCACCAAATTCAGTGACAACAGTTCAGACTGCCCGTCTGGCTCAAGTGCTGTCTGGGGTCAAATTAGGGTGGGAAACAAGGTGAGGAGGCAAAATTGTAAAAAAGATCACTAGCTACAACACCTTTGTCAAATGGCCTTTGGCTACCACATTCTCAGAATAACCAATAGTCTTTATAAGCTTTCTTCTGGCAAGTTTACATGTTTGTATTACCTCACGTGCTATCACAATTCCCATTTCTATGGGAATGACAACTAGGAAGGTCAAAGGCTGCTTCACCGCCATTTCACACAAAAAGAAAACTGAGGCAGCAAGTGGGTATCTTTATAATTTGTATTCAGTGATTTGGTTACTTGTGGGATCGCAAAGGAAGCCAGGATAAAGAATATCTGAAGGAAACTTCTCCCCAGACTTAATGTCAAACTCCTAGGCTGAAGGGAATCAATGTCCCTTTAACAATAAAGAAAAAAGGGGACTCTCCCATTTGAACCTCGCTCTCAGGCTCTTTAATCCCTACATATCCCAGAAAAAAAGATGCGGGCCCTGCCCGGCGGGGTGCGGCCTCGCCTCCAGGCACTCCCGGCCCTCCCACCATAGAGGGCGCGCTCCAGCTCTTGGCGGGCACCTGTCCGTTGACCAGGTTCCGCGGCTCCCTCGGTCGCACCAGGATCTAACAACCCACAGCCACAACCAACACCGGGAAGACGAGCAGCAGGACGAACCTCACAGGCCCGGAAAGCTGCAGGAATCCTCCGAAACTTACAGTTTTCCTACAGCGTGCGCGTCACGACGAGGTGACGTCACGGGACCCGGCGTTCGGGAAGGTCAACCCGCGGGTCGCCGGACCGCACAGGCCCCACAGCTCCGCCCCCTGCGCGCCGACGGGAGTCACGCCCCTTTTCTTAGGGCCCCGCCTCCGTTGTGGAACTCAGGGCGCAAGCGCAGACCGCCTGCTTGGCCGCCTGCTGGTGAAATTCGTGGATCCGGGTGTCCAGGGCGGGGACTGCTCGAGAGCGTTTCACTCAGAGCGTGTGACCAGCAGCTGGGACAATCATTAGAAGGGGGCGAAGACCCCCAGGAACACAGCAAACCAGCTGTTGGTCAGGGAGTAGGGTAGGACGCCAGAGTTCTGAGGCAGATTTTCCACAGAAATTGCTGTTTTGCCCTCACGTGTTCGTTAAAAGTTCTCCACGTGTGGAAACAGTCATTTGCTCTGCATCAGATGCTTACGGGTCCTCGCGGGGTGGTGTCCGGTCTCCCACGGGCCTTCGCCCCCGCCTCTGGTCCCGTCCCGGGCTTCGCTCCAACCGGCCCCGCCCCGACTGGCCCCGCCCCCGGAGTCCGCCCTCGGGCTCTGCTCGCCGGTCGGCAGCGCCCGGCCGCCCGCCGCCTTCCGCCCCGTGCTGGCCTTTTCGTTTGAGATGTTAGCCTCTCTCTCTGCTGCTGACTTTCCCGTTCTGGCTCAACCTCTATTAAAGTTAACAAACAGTGATCTGTGTAAACAAATATGTACACTTCTTCGCTAGTGTTAACTTTCCACCCCTTCCCACTCGTGTGACGACATCTTCCTGTGCCCAACCCGGGTTTCTGCTCTTACAATTTTACAAACGAGGAGTTCTGGTGTAAAGATGGCTCAGCAGAAGGAAAAAGGTAGGCTTCAAGAACTGAACATATTAATAGATTATTTCTGGCTTGTAGGATTCTTAGAGTACTCTTACAAGCATAAATAATAAATTTTATGGTAAAAAGTGTCTGGGACAAATCTGTCAAAGGGACAAAAATTAAATGGGAAAAACAGGCCTTGGAAATAGACCCTAAGTTGAAGGGAGCAAGGACACTTAAAAACTTACTTGGAATCACGACAAATGGGTAGATTAGACCTGGGATTTTGCCAGGCAGATCCAGTGTAAATAAAACCTGAAAAATGGTTCCTTTACACTCTCATTGACAACACTGTAGTAATTTCATAGGAAAGAATGACAGTAAGAACATTAGCCTTTTAACTAAGACATCTGAGCTGGTTATAAATAAACATATTATTCAGAAAAATATACTTAAGTAATTAAAGTTTTAAAAAGTTTTCTTATTTTTAAAGAATATTTATACATTTAATCTAAATATGATTTCATATGAGGTTTTAATGTCATTATCAACTGATGTAAGAAATCTGTGAAGCCCTGGCCGCTTTGGCTCAGTGGTTAGAGCGTTGGCCTGCGGTCCTGAGAGACCCGGGTTCGGTTCCCGCTAAGGGCATGTACCTCGGTTGCAGTTTGTCCCCGGCCCTGGTCGGTTGTGCGGGTGGCAGCCACTCGATGTGTTCCTTTCACATCGATGTTTCTCTCTCTCTCTCTGTTCCTCTCTCTCCCTCCCACTCTACCTGAACAAAAAATGGAAAAATGTCCTCTGGTGAGGATAAAAAAAAAAAAAAAAGAAATCTGTGAAGTTTGTACATAATAATTTTAACCATAATACGGTTTTGTTATATGGAGCGGTTATAGAAAAATTAGCAATTGAAAAAAATTCTACATATATTTAAAATAACAATATTTATATTTTTCCTTGCAAAACAACACTTTTAAGCAACCTCTAAATTGTTAATTACATCATTTACAGGTTTATAGCATGTTTTATGTATATCATACCAAAAATGAGAATTCTTTTTTAATGAATCTAGATATACCTATCAACCAAAAGTTACTGCCACCAATGGAATGGCAACAGGAGTCCCCACTTGGGGTGCAATAAAAGGAGAAACTTTATTCAGGTAAACAGTTTGCAAAACAGCCTCTGGTGGAAACCAAAGTAGAGACCCACTTATATAGAGACAGTGCTCACCATGAGATCCCTGAATGGTCCATTTTTATGCAGCTGAGGAATTCAAATGTGCACAATTTGGTTGGTTCAAGTAGTACATTCTGATTGGTAGTTACAGAGCTGCTCTGATTGGTCAGTAAAGATGCAAATAAGAATATAGCTGTGCAGTTCTGATTAGATGGGGCAGGTCTCTGCCTGTTGGTGGAAATACAATTCTAGGTCAGCTGGCAGGAACTCAGTGAGCCTTAACAGCTCAGTCTGTGGCTTTTTCTGATAACAGTGTACATGAGTGGCCCCTGCAAATAATGGCTGCTAGACTTTGATAATGAATGTAGGCCTTTTTAACTACAAGGAGTCCTTTTTGACAGGTGTATTTTTTCTTGGGGTCAACACACCTCTGGGACTGTCCCACAGATAAATGTCATCTGTCATTACTTTTTTGGAATGAAAAAATTTAGGAAGTTTATACTAAATGCACCAAATGTTTTTAATATAGAATACTTTGGCCTTTATAAGATGGTAATGACAGAATATATTTTTTCTTCTCATTCATTATTTTTTCTCCCAAAACAAAAACCTCCTATATTGCCAAATGCAGGAAAGAAATAATGTAAGCAATAAAAGACTGACAAGCAGAAAGAGTACTAAAACATGAGAGAAACCTCAGGGAATGTCACATATAAATTTGTAGCGAATTATACAATCAGATTTAGTGTAGTTTCTATACTTAATCTAGATAAGAAACCAGAAGCTAGGGTTAAAGTGTATTGATATTAGAGAGAGGAACTGTAAGGATAACTTCTTTAAGAAAATAAAATCCTGGCCTGGCCAGTGTGGCTCAGTGGTTGAGCATAAACCCATGCACTGAGAGGTCTCCAGTTCAATTCCTGGTTAGGGCGCATCCCCAGGTTGTGGGCCAAATCCCCAGTGTGGGGCATGCAGGTGGTGGCCAGTTGATATTCTCTCTCATTGATGTTTCTATCTCTCTCTCCCTCTCCCTTCCTTTCTCTCTCAAATCAATAAAAGAAAATCCTGGATGTTCAAGGGTGAGCACTGGAAGAACTAAGGACCTCCACTCTGGCCCTTGGGGTTTCAATTTCCCCTGTTGGTTCTCCTTCCCCTAGCACGCTGGCTTCCATATTCTTCTGCTCCATAACACTTCCCTTGGTCCTACTTAGCAAACTGAGAAAAGCTGAAACTTAATACCAGGGGAAAATAAAAGAGAACAAAATATAATGACTAATATTTATTGAGTGTGCATATGTGTCAGGCACTGCATTATCTAATTTAATCCTCGAAATTAGTTGAGGTAAGGGCTGTTATCTCCATTTTGCACAAAGCAACCACTGTGCAGGAGACTGAGTCAAGTGCCCCATGTCACGTGGCCTCTAAGTAGCAGTCAACATTTGAACCCATACTTGAGAGCTCACAGCCATAACTACTGATCTGTATCAAGTTTCATATAACAAAGTACAAATACTGCTTGAAACAGAGACTTGGAAAGTCGAAGATACGGAAATTCTAGATCCAAAAGACTGACCTCAATATAGAGGCATCTTCACTCTTTTCCAGGCTGTCTCCATATGCTGTTTCTGTTTCATTTTTTAAGGTGCATACCATCATCCACTAGGTTGATTTTGTGACCTATTAATAGAATGCCACCCTGAAAAACACTAATCAGAATCCAAAATATAGAAGATCAGATTGTATCACATGTGATTAGAATAATTTTTTCAACAAAGATTTTGGGAAACTAGTATTTTAATAATATATGTGTATTCTAGATTGCTATGTTAATGTATTTCTTACACTGTATCTCAATCAAAACAATTTTTAAATACTATTATAACCAGCCCTTGCCTGACTTCTATGCGTATTTCATCTTTCAGAAGCAAAACCAAAAGAAACCTAATTTCACTCTGCAACCCCCTCACATCCCTCTCAGCTCCAGGATCTGATCTGAGAGATCTCTTCCCAATCAATTAACAAAATAATCAGGTCAATCCTACATCCAGAAAGGCTCTTATCTCCAGCACAAACCCAAGAGTGTACTGATACCCTAACAATATAATAAACATCCATAAGACGATAGTTACATAGAATAAAAAAGAGGTTGTTCTGAGAAAGGAGCAGAGACAGGGAGGTTGGTGGGAAGAAGACATGGGATAGAGATTACAGAGCTACAGAGGGATGTATGTTTAATAACCACACATTCTTACATATGTCTGCTGTTACACTTTTTGCAAAATATTTCAAATCTCATTTTATCACTTCTCTATCCCTATTCCACACTGTAGCTTACTCTCCCTATCCTTTTGGTCTCTACTTTACAGGAACTTCCTCAGAGAAGCTTTCCCTAAGCCGCCTTTGCTCTCATCCTTGGAAATTATATTAATTTCCTCCTCTACTAGACTGTAAGCTCTGTGAGAGTAGGGATAATCCTCATCTTGCTCAACCTCCAATCTTCTACTTGTAACTGAGTGCCTTACCCTAAGCAGGTACTCAAGTAAATACGTGTAGAGGAATAAGTGGATGAATGAACTCAAATTCCAAGACCAGCTAGGTTTCTTACTGAAAATACTAATTTATTTCTAAAAGGTGGGGGAGGGGCCACTGTGTTAATCGAAATAAGAAGAAGAAGAAAAGGAGGAAGAACATTTTGAATAATGATGCAGCAAAACATAGCAAAACACTGAGCAGGGTCAGATCAGTTCTGTTACTAACTGGCTAATTTTGTGCATGTCCAATAACTTCTCCAAACCTCAAAGGGGGTTAGACTCACTAAAATGTTATTTGTAGTGACTGTCTTAATAGGGTGTTACCCCTACAGGGAACTCTGGGAAATCAGGACAGGCCACCTGGAGCATTATTTGCATGAAGTCTCCTGAAAGAACCTAACAGGCACTGGGGAATAGTAATTAATCCACTTAAATAAAAGATGTTGGACAAAGGATTCTCCCAACAACAAGAGGGTGGGATGGGGTAGTGAGGAGGGAAATGGAAGACAAGTAACTAGTGTCATTACTCTGAGGAGCCAAATTCATGGTTGAGTACAGGGCCAGGTGCATGACTTTGAGTACAAAGCTGAAAAAAATCAAGCTGACTTTGTGGGTATGTTGGACTGGAGGGCAGGGAAGGAAGGTGCAGGACAAAGAAGATAGTGTCAAAAAGATTTACAGTTTCCCAAGGGAAAAAGCCTCATCTACTACAGTGCAGCAGACAAGAAAGAATGTTTCAAAAATAGACCGTTAGGTCTTTGTGTCTGTTTTTTCCCCTCAGACTCTGTTTTCTCCCTTGTCTCTTGGAAAAGACCTAGTCTTTCTACAAGTTCATGTTTTCTTTTTTTTTTAATTCATCTTTATTGTTGAAAGTATTACAGATGTCTCCCCTTGTGTCCCCCAATTTAGCCCTTTCTTCTCACTCCCACCCACTTCCTGCCTTCCACACAACAAAAAGTTCTCTTTATCTGTGAGTCTGCTTCCATTCTACTTGTTCATTTGGTTTGTAGATTAAATTGATAGATATGTATTTATTGCCATGTTATTGTCCATATTTTTTATCTTCTTCTTCTTCTTTGAGAAGACCCTTCAACATTTCATAAAATACTGGTTTTGGTGATGAACTCCTTTAGCTTTTACTTGTTTGGGAAGCTCCTTATATGTCTATGGATTCTAAATGATAGCTTTGCAGGACAGAGTAATCTTGGTTATAGTTCCTTGCTTTTCATCACTTTTCAATATTTCTTGCCGCTCCCTTCTGGCCTGCAAAGTTTCTTTTGAGAAATCAGCTGACAATCTACGGGAGCTCCCTTGTAGGTAACTAATTGCTTTTCTCGC